GGACGCGCAGGCTCAGCGGCCATGGCTCACGGCCCCAGCCGCTCCGCGGCATGTGGGATCTTCCCGGACCGGGGCACGAACCCGCGTCCCCTGCACCGGCAGGCGGACTCTCAACCACTGCGCCACCAGGGAAGCCCCCAAGAAAACTCTTTAAAAGGCACACTAATTATGGTAATTAGGCCTACTAATTAGTAAAACATTACACAGGTGTTATTCACACAGTGTGGTACTGGCTTAGGAACAGACAGCAAAGGAGATCCAGTTTGTAAGGGAACTGAACACTTAACCATCAGCTGGCAAAATGACTTCGCTAATATTCAACAAATGCTGCTGGGAAAAGTGACTTGCCTTTGGAAAGAAGTAAGCTTGGTTCCTAACTCGTTCCTTACATTCAATTTTCAGACACATCAGGGGCTGGCAAACTTTTCCTGTAAAGGGTCTCAGAGTTAAATACTTTAGGCTTTGGGGGACATCGTTTGTGTCAGCTATTCACCTCTGCTGTTGTAGTGCGAAAGCAGCCAAAGAAATATGTAAACAAATAAGTGTGATCGTTTTCCAATAAAACTGTATTTATGGTCACTGAAATTTAAATTTCATGTTTTTAAAAGTTTAATATAATTTTCATGTCATGAATTATTATTCTTTGATTCTGATTTTTTTTAACCACTGAAAATATTAAAACCATTGTAACTCACGAGCCTTAACAAAACAGGTGGTGGGTCAGATTTGCTGGCACACAATAATCTGCTGACTCTTAGGGACTTCCCTGCGGCGCAGTGGTTAAGAATCCGCCTGCCAATGAAGGGGACGCAGGTTCGAGCCCTGGTCCGGGAAGATCCCACATGCCGCAGAGCAACTAAGCCTGTGCGCCACAACTACTGAGCCCACGCTCTAGAGCCCGCGAGCCACAACTACTGAGCTCGCATGCCACAACTACTGAGGCCTGCGCGCCTCGAGCCCATGCTCCACAACAAAAGAAGCCACCGCAATGAGAAGCCCGCGAACCGCAATGAAGAGTAGCCCCCGCTCGCCACAACTAGAGAAAGCCCACGTGCAGCAACAAAGACCCAACGCAGCCATAAATAAATAAATAAATAAATAATTTAAAAGATAATCAAAGATTTAAAAAAACAGAAAACTACGGAACTAGAAGAAGATAGGCATAAGTGTTTATTAACCTTCTCATTTAAGGCATATAACCTTAAATGGGAAGGTTAATAAACATGACAGAAAACCTAGAAGTCATAAAAAACTAATAAAGTTGGTTATCCAAAAATTAAAATATTTTACATAATGAAAAAAAGACACTGCAAACATTCTTAAGAGTCAAGAAACACAGACCGAGCAAAGCATTCTCAACAGACAAAAGGATTAATGCCCTGACCCTATGCTGTGAGGCAAGCACTATAGCCACATATAACTGCTGAGCCACTTAAAATGTGATTAGTCCTAATTGAGGTGTGCTACAAGTATAAACTGACTATTAGATTTCGAAGACTTCGTACAAACAAAAGGTAAAACATCTCAATGACAATGTATACTAATTACATACTGCAAAGATAATTTCAGATATACTGAGTTAAATATTATTAAAATTAATTTCACCTGTTTCTTCTTACTTTAATGTGGCCATTAGAAAACTTAAAATTACCCACGTGGCTCACATCATATTTCTATTGGACACTGCTGCCCCAAATGATAAAAGAGCCTGTATAAATTGGTAAGAAAAAGAGTAACTTGGTAGAAAAATGGAAAAACGATTTAGATATGCAATTTTTAGTTCTACAAACGAAGATAAATAAATGAAGAGACTGGGCTTAGCCTGGTGGCGCAGTGGCTGAGAGTCCGCCTGCCGATGCAGGGGACACGGGTTCGTGCCCCGGTCTGGGAAGATCCCACGTGCCGTGGAGCGGCTAGGCCCGTGAGCCATGGCCGCTCAGCCTGTGCTCCGCAATGGGAGAGGCCACAACAGTGACAGGCCCGTGTACCCCCCCCAAAAATAAATAAAAATAAATAAATGAAGAGACAGTTAACATCACTAGCAAAAAACCCCCAAAAAACAAAAAACAAAACCATTTTTCACCTATCACCTATCAGACTGGCAAATATTAAGACTGATGCATTCCAAATTGACTAGGGTATCGGTACTCTTATATTCTTTTTTTTTTTTGCGGTACACGGGCCTCCCACCACCGTGGCCTCTCCCACCACGGAGCACAGGCTCTGAACGCGCAGGCCCAGCGGCCATGGCCCACAGGCCCAGCCGCTCCGCGGCACGTGGGATCCTCCCGGACCGGGGCACGCACCCGCGTCCCCCGCATCGGCAGGCGGACCCCCAACCACTGCGCCACCAGGGAAGCCCGTACTCTTATATTCTTAAAATACCTAAGTGGATTCATTTTTGGAGGACAATATGGCATACGTTGGAATTTATTCAACAAAAATATGTGTGCAGGGCTTCCCTGGTGGCGCAGTGGTTGAGAGTCCGCCTGCTGATGCAGGGGACACGGGTTCGTGCCCCGGTCTGGGAAGATCCCACATGCCGCGGAGTGGCTGGGCCCGTGAGCCGTGGCCGCTGAGCCTGCGCGTCCGGAGCCTGTGCTCCGCAACGGGAGAGGCCTCAATCTAATGAAACATTTCGGCCAAGGATTTAAAAAAAAAAAAAAAAAATGTGTGCAACTACTCAAAGATTTGTATCGAGAATGCATAATCTAGCAATGTTTCATACAGCAGAATACTGCAAACAACCTAAATGTCCAACAGCAAAGGATTAGTTAAGTAAACTATGACATGTCCATATAATGGAATACTATGCAACCATAAAAAAGAGAAAGATATATAGCCATTTTAAAATAATTTATCTCTGGGGATGAAATGAGAGAAGAGTGGAGAAGGTCCATTTTAACTCCATATATTTTATAATGGAAATCTTTTTAGACTGGCGACGTGTAAATTTTTATATTAAAAAGGAGCATTTCCCTTACTTCCCAATTAACTTCATGGTGAATTGATACTTCTCTAAAAGAGACAGTCATCAAGGACACTCATCAACCTGACCCATTTTCCTGGCATTTCTAAAACATTTAACCATTAATGAAATATAAAAGAGAATAAGAATAGCTGGGGGCGGGGCAGAGTTACATAAAACTAAAGGGGCTATTTAGTATCCCTTGTGAACTCTAGGAATATTATTTAACTTGAAGGTGTTCGTTACATTTAAATAAGAGTTAATGGAGACAATGTATGAGAACTAAAAATAATAAACCTTTCTCTCAATTTCATCATTCAGTCTTCTTAGTTCCATTTCACGCTGATCTTGCTGAAGCTGCAGAAGACACCTTCTTGCAGCATCTTGTAAGTGCACTTCCTTTACTTTCAACTCTCTTTTCACAGCAGCTAGTCTTAAACACAAAATACATCAAGAGGAATAAATAAAATCATTTCCCAATATATATTTAAATGGAAAAATACTGTGTTTCACAATGAAAGGCCTGCCACCTATTTTGGTCCGCTTTCCCAACTCAACTGGTGCCATCATAACATGGGTTTTTATAATATATAAATGAAAACGCTCAATTACAAAACAAGCCTACATTCATGAAAATGACAAGTCCACATGCAATTGGCTATTTCTTCATACTCAAAAATTCTCTTTAACAGGTCTACTACTCAGATCACCTCAATACAATTAATAGCCTTTATCTGAGAAAAGAAGCCCCCCAAATACTCTGATGTTACCAAAGATTATGTATGCTTATTCTTTTAGAATTCTAGAAGGCTAATAATGGCTCAGTTCAGTAATTTTTTTTTAACTCACACCAGAAATCTGTTTCATAAAGTCCTATCCAAAAATAAGAATCAACAAACACTTACAGAAGTGATTCTCCCAACAATTAGCCTTAATCTCAACGCTTATCCCATGATCTTAACTAATTTAAACATTTTGCCTTATTAACGTATTATTGAATAAGCATTTAATACTTCTTTCCCTGTCCTCCAAAGTATGAAATGTACAATGAGACAATCATTTTATGTTTCATTTTCAGGTCACACAGATATGTTTAAAACACAATTTAAAAAATTATACTCCACTAAAGTTGATTTACCCAGCATCGTGTTGCAAGGCATTTCTGCCCACCGTAAAAGGTACCTTAGATCTTGTATTACTTCTGAATAATCAGAGCAAGTTATATTATACTCAGTATAGCTTTAGAATTACAGTTTACTATATGCCAATTTTTTGAGAAATGTATTATAATTTCTTTTTAGTAGCTTAAACATTTGCTTAATGGAAATAGCAGAGCTGGGTAATACTATACAAAGTGAAACTGTATATAATTATATATAATTTCATAATAATGAAAGACATAAACATGATTAAAATAACTCAGATGTCCAGCTTTTTTTCAAAGTGTTAAACGTACTTTTGTCTTTGCTGTGTCATCATCTCCTCCTCTTGTAAGAGCATTTCTCTCGTTTCTTCAGCTTTACGAAGCGGTTCCTGTTTTTGGTACCAAGTTTCATCTTCAACTTTTTGCTGGTCTACTTCAGCTTGCATGTCTTCAACTGCCTGCCTAGAGTAGATAATATTTATTATTATAACAAAACGCAAATAAGAAAACTGAGTAATTTAAGTTCAAGAACGAACAAAACACAAAATGTATACCTCATGAACATGTAACTGTTTTACTTCCATATGCAAGAATACCTTTAAAGATATTTCCATCCTCCGAACTCTGATTTTATACAACTTAATAATTTACATGTCTTTTTCATAAAAATTTTGTTTATAATAGATTTTGTCTTTATCAAAGAACAACCATTCCGTGATTACCTCTCTCTTAAGTAATCCAGTTCATCATCCCTTATTCTTTCTCGTTCCTGTGTCTGACAGTCCACGATAAACTTTGGATATTGATTAAATACTGGGTATTGCCCTTTTGTCAGTGCCACAAAAACATCAAGCATGCTGTCTGGATGAATATCAGTGGGCGTGGTATCCATGAGACGATAAACTTCTCTAATTACAGCACTTATATCCAGGTTATTCCGATGGTGAAAAAAATACTGTAAGAAAACTTCGTGTTTAAATTGAGGTTGACCTAGTAAGGCAATTAAGGTAGAACCAAAACGAGTTTAAACACGTAAATGTGAATTTATCTTTAAGAGGATTTTTTTTTTTTTTTTGCAAATTCACTGAAGCGTTTCGTAACCCAAGTTTTAAAATGAAGATCCAGCTTCATATTTAAAAAAATAAATTTATACAACCAGATTATGAAATTTTGAAATAAAACTTTTAAAATGTTAACTCAAAATGAAGGCTTCCTTTATAAGAGAAGACCGCTTCAACAACGAAATAAATTCTACTGGAACTTTTTTCTTCAAAATCCAAAATAAGTAAATTCAAAACTAAATTAGCCTTTGAAAATAACCTTGATTTTTAAAAAATATCTGACATGTTTCCACATTATCTTGTTCTGCTGGCAGATCCAAATTCTAATACATATACACACATACATACATATATGTACGCATCTTGTGATCATGAAGTAAAAATAAAGTTTAATTTGATAGGAACCACAAAATAAGTAACAAACAAACAAAACCAACTTAATTCATCCTGTTACCAAAAGAACCTCTCCCTTTAAAAACTACCTCTAATGCTTTCTTTCAGCCACTGTCCTCAAAATTCTCATAGTTACCATTCTGCACGTGTAATAAGCATCCAGATTATCCCAGACCAGTTGGGTCACTGATAAAATCATGCACAGAATAAACAACTACCCAATTGTTAAACATCCTTTAAATAGGCAAAAAGCACAAAACTCCAACATCATCATGATTCTTCTCCGAAGCTATGATTTTAGGACTAGCAGTCAAGCTATGACTGACTACAGCTATGTAAGGGCCAGGACGCAGTGGTATAACTTATTCTCTGCTATATTCTTACCACCTGGCACCAGTACCTGACATACAGTAGGTACTCAATAAATACGTGGATTTTTAATTGAAATAAATGAAATTTGAGAACCACTACTTAAGAACAAGGATATGTACCTCAAAATCATCTTTAAGATTACAGTTGAGCAAAGGAGCTCTAGAACATATGTTGTAGGCCACAACAGTCATCAGGAGGAATGAAGGATGGTTGGAAAAGACATTATCAAATAATTTTAGCCACTCCTCTCTTGTCAGTACTTCCGAGAACACAGTTTCAAGAAGAGGCCATGCATACAGCTAAAATAAATAAGAAAAAATGTATTAGCTCTTGAGGGAAAAGTCATAACAGCCATTGCTAATATGCTCATTTGGTTTAGACACTAAAATCATTATATTAAGAACATAATTATGAAAAGAACTACTCGAATTTGGGCTCTTCTTTACAGACTTTCAGGAAAGCAGTTTAATGAAGAAAAAAAATGGAATACTATTAAAAGCATAACAGTAGTATGTTTATTATATTCTTTCAAGAAAATACTGTCTGATTTATACCAGAACCAATGTTAGCTTCCAAAATAAGTTGTTATTCTAAAAACCTTACATTTCTTACCTGGGAAGTTATATCATGATTTATGAAGTGTTGCAGGAGTTCCTTGTCATGAAATGCCAAAACATTTTCTATCATACTAAGAATATTGATAGGAGGATTAGGAAAATATTCAAACCAGTGTTGACACCAATTGACTATGAAGAAAAAAATTGAAAATTTACCTTTACCTTTCTATATCATCAAAGAGCTTTGCAGTTCTTAAATGTATCCACTCTTTATATCCTCAACATGCCCATTAATAAGGAAAACATAACTCTTTAAATTCTAGAACAATAGATTTTAAAACTCCATCATGTTACCGCGGTATTTCAGGTTTATAGAATATTCCCGTTTCTTCAGAGCAGTCAATGAGAAAGTGTCAACTAAAACAAACAAACCTTCCCAAAGTATTCCTGATGGTAGCTATAAGGCTCTGTTTCCTGCTGGCTTGTGTGCTGCATGAATTTAGGTTTCTCCTGGTTAACAAAATGACCCTCTTAAAAAAGGTCCCTATTTAAGTCTTTGATAAAATGTAATCAATGTTAAATGGCAATCTCCTCAAATCTACTAAAATTCATTCCTAATTAAAGAGTCCCATTTCTAGGAAAAGAGTGTTCTATAGCTATGGTAACAGGCAGTCACCAGGACTGGTTTTAAATCTAACTGATCAATGACAACTTGTTTCAGTAAACTTGACTTTGAAAACCAACCAATCAGTGACAGCTGCAGCAGTGTCCTCTGAAAGTCAGCCAATAGAAAGGAGAATCCATTCCACTGAAGAGGCTTCTAAGGCTGACTTTAACTCACTCTCACTTAGTAACCAGCACAACCCCCAAAACATTCTTTTCCAAAAACCCTAAGAAGATGATCAGTTTCACTGCTCAATGAACCTATGTCTAACCACCAAAACTTTCCATAATTATTAGGGGCTTCCCTGGTGGCGCAGTGGTTGAGAATCTGCCTGCCAATGCAGGGGACACAGGTTCGAGCCCTGGTCTGGGAAGATCCCACATGCCATGGAGCAACTGGGCCCGTGAGCCACAATTACTGAGCCTGCGCGTCTGGAGCCTGTGCTCCGCAACAGAGGCTGCGATAGTGAGAGGCCTGCGCACCGCGATGAAGAGTGACCCCCACTTGCCACAACTAGAGAAAGCCCATGCACAGAAACGAAGACCCAACACAGCCATAAATAAATAAAAAAACAAAACAAAACAAAAAAACATAATTATTAAATTCAGATTTTTTTATTTTAAATATTGAGCTGGGGTTTCATGTTTTGACGATAAGATCTTTCTCAAGTTAGCAAATGGTCTGATCAGAATACTGGATTACATATGGTTTATTCCATTATTTCATTTATTAGTTAAGTATTTAGATGTGAGTTAATAATTAAGTCATAAATAAAATCTTGCAAAAACTAAGCTTTAAAAGAAACATTTTAGCTTCTTTAACTGCTGCTCTTAACAGGTTAACTTTGACAGAAAAATCCAACCTCTCCTAAGTAAGTACCTATGATGTCCCAGACACTGCTAGTTTTGGGAATTTTAAAACACCACACACATACACAAAGCCCTCTTATATTGAATCTTCATCAATAGAACAACTTTTCAATTAAGCAAGAGGGAAGCCCTGTTTTATACAGTAAACGTCTCCTCTTGTATTCTGCTAGGTGCCACCACACAGAAGTATGGGTGGACGACCTAGAGACAGGATTGACTGAGAGGAGAATAAAGAGAAATGGTCATCGTGTGGAGGCCCTTCACCAAAGCTGAAGAATTTCCTCCTGGTTATAAGAGGAGCTCTAAAGGTGCTTAAAAATGACTTTTATAAACGTATTCCAAGTTACACATAGAAGTAACTATATTCCTTCACAGTTTCTTCTTGGCCCCAACTAGACTGTAACCTGAAAGCCAAAACAATGGCTTATCCCAAAGCAGGGCTAACATTTAGTTGAATAAAACTAGTTTGAGACCCTTGATGAAAATCCATAGCTACTCATGCTGACTGTCATGGATCTTTTAGATTTAGATTTCAGTTTCAGAAGAGAAAAATCAATTTCCTTAGTATATAATCATACGTAGCTATGTAACAAGATTTTACTGGAAGTAAAAGATATAGTTGTGCATGCCTACTCTAAATTAGATATAATCTGTTTTTCTTTCTTGTGGTAAAATATAATTTGCCGTTTTAACCATTTTTAAGTGTACCATTCAGTGACATTAATTCTATTCACAATGTTGTGCAACCATCACTATTTCCAAAATCCTTTCCCAGACAGAAACTCTGAACCTATTCAGCATTAACTTCCCATTTCTACTTCCCCAGCCCTGGTAACCTCTAATCTACTTTCTGTGCCTATTTGAGAAATTTCACATAAATCTGTCCTTCAGTGTCTAGCTTTTTTCACTAAACATGTTTCCAAGGCTCATCCATGTTGTAGCAGGCGTCAGAATGTCACTGCTTTTTATGGCTGAATAATATTCCACTGTATATATACAGATATGGTTTCTCCATTCATCTGTTAATGGATATTTGGGTTGTTTCCATCTTTTGGCTATTGGGAATAATGCTCCACAAACATATTTGTATACAAGTATTTACAGAGACTATTTGATTCAATTTTGGGGGGGATATCCCTAGGAGTACAACTGTGGGGTTATATGGTAATTCTATGTTTAACTTTTTGAAGAACCACCAAACTGTTTTCCACAGTGACTGCACCATTTTACATTTCTATCAGCAATGTACAAAGGTTACAATTTTTCCACATCCTTGCCAACACATATTTTCTTTTAAATTACAGCCATCCTAGTAGGTGTGAAGTGGTGTCTCACTGTGGTTTTGATCTGCATTTCCCTAATGACTAATGATCCTGGACATCTTTTCATCGGCTCAGTAGCTCATTTGTACATCTTCTTTGGAGAAACATCCATTCAAGCCCTTGCCCATTTTTAAAGTGGATTGTTCATCTTTTGTTCTTGTTTCTTTTCCTTTTAAAACTCTTAGTGTTACTGACAGGGTAAACGTACAACCCTTTAGTGGAATCAATTAGAATATTCATATTTTATGACCTAATGATACCAATTCTGGGACTCCAACCAAAAGAGATTATTATAAATTTATGAATGTGAAGCTAGTCACAACATTGTTACTTTTAATACATAAAAATTAGAAACAATCTAAATGTCCAACAATTAAACTAGACCATGTACATTACAGAATTACAATAAACAATAAAATGTTTACAAAGTGTATACAAATAAGAGAAATGTATATATCATATGAAATAAAAGTAGTATAATTATAAAAATAAACCCTAGAAGTCTAACAGTTGGGGGATACATTATGGTATAAGATGAAACATTATATAGGCAATAAATTATATTTTTTAAGATATTTAATGATTTAGGGAAATGCTCTTAAAAGAAATTCATTAATATATCATCAAGATTGTTTCTGAGGAAGAGGAATATTCATGAATTTTCTTTTCTTTTGTATATTTTCCTATATTTCCTCCAATGATTGGTAAAAACTTACTAAAGCAAATACAGCATAATAAAATGAACGAAAATCTGTAAAGAGAAGTAAACTAAAATATTCACAATATGTACGCTGGGATCTTTTTATTTCTACTTTTCAGAATTTTATTGTTATAGTTAAGTGCATATCTCCTTTGTACAAGAAAAATACATACAAAAATGTTATTTTTGTTAAACCAGTGTTGGTTTAATTTGGATCCAGTTCATTAACCATTTAGCTGATTTTACTAATATGAAAAAAAATGACTCATTTTTTAGTGTAGATGATAATGATGAGGCAATAACACAATGGGAGTACAGCTATAGGTTCTGAGTCCTGGGTTCAAATCCTTATTCTGTCATTAACCTAATCATGGAACTTAAGCTCTCTGTGCCTCAGTTTCCTCAACTATAAAAAGGGAATAATAATATATAACACCTACCCTACAGGATTGCTGTACGGTTAAATGAGTTAATAAAGAAAAAAACCACTTAGAATGGTACCTGGTACACAGAAAGTTCTCATTAAATGTTAGCTATGGATGATGAGAATGGGGGTAACTGCCAACACCTGCCACATTAGGCATCGTGTGCTAAATGCTTTACATACTTACTGCAGTCTTATGAATAATAACTGACTTTCAATAAGTGAAACATCTGCTTCCTTCTTACTAACAAAATCTAGCCTGTAACAGTATCTTCTAAAATGCAACCATCCAAACTTCATTGTAAGTAAAAAGGTTTATTTATGTATAAATGTCCAAACTCTCCATTTTATGTTCTATGTCTGACTGTCTCACACTAGAATTGTTAAATGTTGCAAAGGATTGGAAAATGTATAAGTATCTACTCTTGGTTTCATTATTTACTTATTTACTTACTTATAAGAGTAGCAACAACTTCAAAACAGATGAGCTGGTTGTTCTGGAACAATTTTACAAATGGAAATGCCAGAAGTGGAAGATACGGTGTGTCACTAAAGATGGTGGACCAGTGAGCTAATGCGGAGAGGGTTCTGTGAATAAAATAAGACCAGAGAAGCTTGTTAAAATTTATTTGAATAAATAACACATTCACATGATGAAAAATGATACAGAAGGTAAATGTGGTGAAATTTGGGTGTATCTGTTTTCCCATGATTAGACTGAGGTTATAAGTTTTCGGCAAGAATACCACAAAAGTGATGTGCAACACACTGATAGGATTTATTACTGGTGATTTTAAATTTGATTACTTGGTTAAGGAGGTGTCTGCTAAGTTTCTCTACTATGAAATCACCATTTTCCCATTTGTAATTAATAAATATCTTGGGGGAGATACACATTGCTGTAAAATACTGAACATACATACCTCTGTAATACTCTGAATAGTTTCCTACTTTTGATGGGGTATCTCTTCTGAAGGTTGAGAAATGCCACATGAATACCTTTATCTATAAGATTACTAAATGCAGTATGATTTTCAGGCAGCTGTAGCAGAGAGCGCCAAATGAACATTCTGAAATTAAAACATAATTTTAACCAAGAAAAATTAGGAGAATAAGATTGATTTAACATGCAAGAATTTAAATTTTACCTGTATTTCGTTGGATATTCACCATAGCCTTTTAATAAGATTTGTAAACGCTTTTTGTTTAATCCATCTGAAAACTCACTCTATAAAGAAAAGAAATAGTATCAATAAGTGACATAATCTTAAAACTGAAAAGGTAATCTAGTCCACAGTGGCTTTCCAACTTTGGAACACAATACACAGTAAAAAATATTTTATATCATGGGAGTCTCCACACACACACACACACACACACACACACACACTCTCTCTCTCTCTTTCTCTCTCTTGAGTATGCATATACACAGCAGATAAAGTTTATGACATCTTTTTTTACCCTGTAACAGGGTTTGACAAACTTTTACTGTCAAAGGTCAGAGAGTAAGTATTTTAGGCTTTGTGGGTCAAGAGGCAGAATCAAGCATATTATGCAGGTACTCATATGACCATTTAAAATGCAATCATTTAAAAATATAAAAATCATCCTTAGCTTGAGTAGCCAGATTGGGCCCATGGGCTGTCCTCTGCCAATCCCTGTAGCAAGAGCAAAGCATCTGGATAATTTTTTCCTTTCTTGCTCCATCTCTTTTATTTTTTTGCACTTTTAACTTTTAAGTCAATTTTTATCTTAATGGAAAAACATTTTATAGATTTTAGGATCATAAAGCCATTTTCATAGATGATCTCGTTTAAGCCTAACAACTATATGAAACAGACGAGATGTTTTGTCTTCCTTTCTTTGAGAAAATGGGAAGGTCAGAGAAGTTCAGCAACTTGCTTAAGATCACAAATCTGTTGAGTCTTGGCTCAAGACTCAAAGCCACATTTTCTGACTTAGTTCAGTGCTCTTTTCACCACATAAGAAACAGGTAATCGAAGTGTAAGAGGGAGGTAAGGGACAGCCCAAGATGATGGTGAATGAAGATCCCCGTTTGAGAGCCATGTACCAGACATTAAGGGCAATTAGCCCAGACTGGAGCAATGCAATCCATAAAAGAGACACGTTCACTGTCTCTGTTCACTGTTGTTACCAAGACACCCGCTGCCACTGAAGCCTCTTTAAACAAAGGTCAGAATGCCCAGGGGGATTGGCCTGAGTTTCAACTACTTTTGTCTTCACCATGAGCTGATGAAGCTCCTACTTCCCTTTCCATGTCCTGATGCCACGATTAGTTGAGGACAGGCATTTCACCCACAGAAGTGCTCTACTTTGACCTACTCCTTAGAACTGGCTATGGGTTTTTAGAAGCTGCCCACTCCCAGACAATATTTCTGTAGGGCTTCCAACTTTGATCCAGACCAAGGGCTGCCAGATGCCCTGACCATGGTGTCACTTTTATTTCCCAGAAGTCAATAATCACCATGCCCACACTAGTTTTCTCAGAAAAGGCTCCTGTGAACTCTCAGGAAAGCTGAAGCCAGACCATGTCTCAGAAACACATTCAACTAATAGGGTCAATACCGCCCAACCTTTACTCAGCTAGGTTTGTGCCTGCTACTTAGTTTAAAACTAAACAGTATTTTGTTTAGGGTTACGTTGTAGAGGCGATAAAACTATAAGGGAAGCCAAGGACATAATGCAAAAGTGAGGACAACGGTTACATCTATGGGACAGGGAGAGAAATGCGACTGGGGCCAACCACACAGGGGACTTCAGAGTTACTGGTAATACTCTATTTCTTAATGTGGATATGAATATGTCCAGAAAAGAGTTAACATGGCAGGTCCGTGACTGCTACCCTTAGAAAGGCCCACTTGAAGGTTGGCCCTTGTCTGGTGTCCAGCTATCTGGATTTCGAGGAAGTTCCCACTATCTCCAGAACGAACAGGAGCGGCTCACCGTGCCTAAACTGTACACTGTGGTTTATGCTGAGCACCTGCTTTCCTTGTGGAGTCTGGAATTTTGCAAGGGTGCCTATAACCAGCCTCCAGTAAAAACCCTGGGCACTGAGTTTCTAATAAACTTCCCTGGTAGACAACACTTTACACATTCTTCTTTTGAGGGAAGTTTCACATTTTAAAACTGCTTATAGAAGAAAAGAGGTTAAAATTAATGTGAAAAATACCAACAGTTGCTAAGAACATAAAGCAACTGGAACCCTCAGATACCTCTTGGTGGGAATATGGATTGTTTAAATCAACCACCTGGGAAACTATCTGACAGTATTTACTAAAGCTGAACACATATGCATAGCCCATATGCCAGTAATTCCATTCCTAGGTTTACAGCCAACAGAAACATGCCCTTATGCTCAACAAAGATGCCTTAAAATGTTCAGAGCAGCACTGCTTCTAATAGCAAAAAAACCCAGAAAACTACCCAAATGCCTACCAATAGCGGAATGGATAAAGCATGGTTTATTCACTCAACGGAATTCTATACAGCTGTGAGTGAATGGTTTACGACCACATGGCTCTCTCCAACACACCGTTAAATGAAAGAAGCCAGAAACAAAAGAGCACCAACTGAATGATCCAATGAACATAAGTACAAAAAAGGCAAAACTAATCTACGGTGTTAAAAGGGAGGAGTAGTGATGCCTGGGGTTAGGGGGCAAGTGTCTGGAAGGGAGCAGCAGAGGGGCTTCCAGGGTGCTGGGAATGGTCCATTCTTTGATCTGGGTGCTGGTAACACAGGTGTATTCGGTCTGTAAAAATGTACTGAGCTGTGCATTTTTATGCATGTGATTGACTAACTGTCAATAGCAAGTTCTGAAAGTCCTTGAAAGTGTTAGCAGGTTGTCTATTAATGTGCACATTTTCCTTCAATTCCAAAGCAATATATGCTCTTCGCAGAAAATTAAGAAAATACAAAAAAAAAATACATATAAAGAAGAGAATAAAACTGACTGAAATAGGTAATTCTACTATCAAAATTTTTATGCACTTTTTGCTCTGACTTAAAAATTCTACTTCTACAGATACGTTTGTTCAAATGTTCTAGGAACATCCACTGCATCAGATTGTATTAACAGAAGACTGACGATACAACCTAAATGCCAGTCAGCAGAGTCCTAGTGAGATAAATTAAGTTATATCCATAAATGCAATACTAGGCAAATAGTTTTAAAATGCTGTAGCACTACATGCACTAATATAAAGATATTCAATCTGTTAAGTGATAAGAACAAGTTATAAAACAGTGCTACAGTATGATTCCATTTATGTAAAAAAATTTTTAAAACGTAACAGACACAGATATACATTATGTTTATACACAGAAAACTTCTGAAAGGATATCAACAATTATCTTTTCTTTAAATTTTATTTTATTTTAGTTTTATTTTTGGCTGCGTTGGGTCTTTGTGTGGGCTTCTCGTTGTGGTGGCTTCTCTTGTCATGGAGCACAGGCTTTAGGTGCACGGGCTTCAGTAGTTGTGGCACATGGGCTCATTAGTTGTGGCACACGGGCTTAGTTGCTCTGCGGCATGTGGGATACTCCCAGGCCAGGGATTGAACCCGTGTCCCCTGCATTGGCAGGTGGATTCTTAACCACTGCGCCACCAGGGAAGTCCCATCAACAACTATTAACAATGGTCACCTCTGGGGAGTGCAATGAAGAGTGGGCTAGGGCACAGGGAGGAAGAAAAGTATGCTTTTGTTCTTTTCCCTTTACAACCTCTATACTAGCATTGTCTAAGAGATAAGCAAGAGACAAATGTAATTTAAGTTTTCTTAAAAAATATAATTTAAGTTTCATGTTAAAAAAAAGTCAAAAGCAGCAGGTAAAAATCAAATTTAATACATTTATTTAACCCAATGTAGTAAAAATATGATCATTTCAACATATAATTAGCATAAAATTATTAACTAATATGATATTGTACATTCTTTAGGGGTAGGAGATTAAGGGGTACAAACTACTATGTATAAAATAAAGAAGCTACAAGGATATATGGCACCAGGAATATAGCCAATATTTTATAATAACTTTAAGTGGAGTATAATCTATAAAAATACTGAATCACTATTTTGTACTAATATAATACTGTAAATCAACTACACTTCAATTTTTAAAAAGATATTTTACATTCTTTTGTTCATAATAAAATCTCAATATCTGATGTGTATTTCACACATATACCACATCTCAAATCAGATTAGCCACATGTGACTAGTGGCTAGCATATTGGACAGTGCAATTCTATACTGTTTTATTTGACTTTTAAAAAAAAACCATAAACGTGTATTAATTTTATATTAAAAAGTTTTAAAAGCATGTTATAATTTCAGTTACAACTTGCTTCTTTTCTATAATTTTCCTTTAATTCCTAAGAGAAGGAAGAATGATGATGGTCTAGAAATCATAAGACTTGTCTACAGCAGAGCCATGACAAACAAAAGTTTAATATGGTCTTACCTCTTTATTTTCAAAATTACCAGTCAGGTCTTGCTTTAATATTCTAGCTTGTATTTTGTTTTCCCTTGATTTTGCTGGCCGCTGTACTCTTCCTGACGTTACTTTCATCTTAAAGTCACCAGAATTCACTTTCCTCTTAGGCAAATCTTCAATCACTTTCACTAAAGGAGGCGGTGGCTAAAAGGGGGGGGTGGAAATCCAGTGGTTATCCTTGGAAAATAGACCTGTTAACATATAATTTACAAAATGTATTTTGCTCAATTTAGTAATATGCCTTAATAGATATAATTATCCTTAAGGCAAAAAGTGTAAATAAAATGTCCAAGAATGTTTCCTTGTTGACTAACGAATCAAAGCAAATTTCTGCTGAATTCCTTTGAGCAACGTAATAAAGATCATGATTAACAACAATAAACAGAATTTCGTTATTCCTTGAAAGCTGGCCTTAATCATACAGTATCAATCCATTTTTTACACCTGTATGATAAAGTGAGTAGTAAGGCGGTAATCTGCTGCAGAGAAGGCCCAGTTACACACAGGGCCCTCTAGAATGCTGAGAGAAGCACCCTAACATTCTTTGGGCTCAGGTGAAATTTCTTTGAGGGAAACTTTCCTCTGAAAGCACGGGACCCCTGCCTTGTCCTTGGTTACATTTTCTAATCTACATGGAGATGGCTGCCAGTCCCTGACTGCATCAACAGCTTCAGAGGGAGGGCCGAAAGCACGACTTAGGTGCCAAACCCTCATTTTTATGGGGCTCATCAAACAGGAAAATAAGCCCCCAACAACTTCAATTTACTTAAGGTAAAATGATTCACTAAGACATTTTCTCTGTGAATAACACTCTCTTTGAAATAAAAAGATCTTCATTGTTCAAAGAAAATAAGCAGAAAATATAGCTCCGGCTTTCTGAGTTCTAAGTATGATTCAAGTAAAATGACTTTCACAGGGTGTTTTAAATGTTTGAGACCATTACTGCTGAATGTTCCCTTAGTAATTAGCCCAGATCCAGATCAAAGACAAGGTGGATTTGTGATTTTTAAATAATTTTTCTTGAAGCCAAAGTGCCAATTCCTTGCATATGAGAATAAGGACACAATATACCCCAAATGTCCAAATGAACGTATTAGATTTCAGAAAAACAAATATTACACACATCACCCTGAATTCAAGCTGTCATGAAAGCCAGAAGAGTGGGCTTCCATGATGACGTACAATGGAAATGAATCACCACTCTTTGGGAAAGCTCTCTGAAGCAGAAACCAAACTTTTCTGACCTCCTCCCCCTTCGTCCCCAAAAGAAATGAACAGAACAAAGCAAACATCTTGACTCTTTTTAAATAACAGACTATAAAAAGACTACTTTGAGGTTTTTCAAACAGAGATTTTTCTCACGTTGCTTTCAAAGGTTCAGGACTTCTGCTTTTGAAACCTGCAGCCTATTATAGGAGACCAAGAAAATACTCCCTATTGTCAACTGCAGTATGTACGACACATAACACTGTAAAATGTATAGAGCAGGTAATACACATGGCATCGATACTGCATTTTTATTTGTTTTAAAATTATTTTGAAAAGTATCTGAAGTTTTAACTGCATCTGTAAGGGTTTTTTTTTTTTTTTCTCGGTATGCGGGCCTCTCACTGTTGGGGCTTCTCCCATTGCGGAGCACAGGCTCCGGACGCACAGGCTCAGCGGCCATGGCTCACGGGCCTAGCCGCTCCGCGGCATGTGGGATCTTCCCAGACTGGAACACGAACCCGTGTCTCCTGCATCGGGAGGCAGACTCTCAACCACTGAGTCACCAGGGAAGCCCTGTAAGGGTTTTTTAATAGTGTTTTTCTAGGATACATTGGTATTTATTCACACCTAGAAAGAGTACAGAATACAAAATATAATAACAATAACTCTGACCAAAATAAAGTACAATGACCACTTACTCTATGATTTAATTCTTTACCTATGAAATGTAATTAATAGTGGTCTGATTTCTGAATATTGCCCATCTTCAATATCCCTGAACTATCTTCTAACCTCAGTCCATTCTTCTATATCTTTATTGTAATATTTATCCTAGTGCCACATTTTTCATGGTTCTTCCATGAAGGAATTTCCCAGAAGTTGGAGCCTGAGATATGACCTGAATTGCCACACCTTAGGAGTGTTAAAACTTCAACACAGAAATAGGAATTAGCTTACTTATTATTAGCACAATACCAGAAATTCTCCAATGGCAAGAAAATAGGACTTGAAGGAATGAGACACGGGTAATAAGTTTTGCATAAACCTGGGCATTTTGTATGCCTGGAATAGCACTAGTGGTGCTGGTAATGTGTCCAAAAAAAAAAAAAATTTATTCTTCTTCTGTTATAAGCTAGATTTTCTGGCCAATATGACCTCAATTTGATTAACAAATAACAGAGAGGAAGCCAATGACTCATGCTTACCTTGGTTTTTCTCAGATCTTTGTTTCTATTAATAACCTTTATCTAGCTCTTATAAAATTCAGCTAGGCTAACAACTCTCATTAAGAATGAATAATGTGGGGCTTCTCTGGTGGCACAGTGGTTGAGAGTCTGCCTGCCGATGCAGGGGACACGGGTTCGTGCCCCGGTCTGAGAAGATCCCACATGCCGCGGAGCGGCTGGGCCCGTGAGCCATGGCCGCTGAGCCTGCGCGTCCGGAGCCTGTGCTCTGCCACAGGAGAGGCCACAACAGTGAGAGGCCCGCGTACTGCAAAAAAAAAAAAAAAAAGAATGAATAATGTGGGCTTCCCTGGTGGCGCAGTGGTTAAGAATCCGCCTGCCAATGCAGGGGACACAGGTTCGAGCCCTGGTCGGGGAAGATCCCACATGCCGCGAAGCAACTAAGCCCGTGTGCCACAACTACTGAGCCTGTGCTCTAGAGCCCGTAAGCCACAACTACTGAAGTCGGCGTGCCTAGAGCCCATGCTCTGCACCAAGAGAAGCCACCATAATAAGTCCATGCACCGCAATGAAGAGTAGCCCCCGCTCACCGCAACTAGAGAAAGCCCACGTGCAGCAACAAAGACCCAATGCTGCCAAAAATAAATAAATAAAAATAAATAAAGACGCTCATTGACTGTACAGTGTTGATTCATTAGCACTGAACTCATGCCAACAGCACTGTAGCTCATTCCTGAATGAAGCTTATCTAACACACATATGTTCCCCCTGAGACACCTCCCAGCCCTCTTGTGCTTAGGATACCAGACAGCACGTCAACACTGTGGTTGGGGGACATTTTAAACAGCAAAATCACCGACAAAAATCACAAGAATGTGAAACATGTGGCACTAAACAGACCACGAGAAGGACACTTGTTCCCATGGAGAGCTGAAATAAGGCTGAGTGCTGCTTTGTCTGACCTAGGGGGGAACCTGCATGAAGGCAACTCCAATTTCTTGCGCTCTGCACATGCAAATGTCTGTAAATATGCGGTGAGGACTGATTTTAGAGTTGCAGATAAATTTTCACCAACAGACAAACTCACAACTATAGAATCTGTGAATCATGTAGACTGTATACATTTACACACACAGAACAAAAGACTGAGTAGGCATACATTTCAAAATCATCTAAGAATGGTGAGACTTGCTGATCTATTTGCTTATCTGTATCTTGATTTTGCTCTGTAATAAGAACTTATTATCTGTCTAATTGGAAAAGAAAAAGGTAAAAAGGAGCGGGCACATAGCAACAAGATTATCGTATTAAGAATAGAACACTTGGGCCTGCTAAGGACTAGCTGTGTCATTAGGTTGGGGCATGAGCTGCTACCCCTGTAAAACGAAATGGTTAGACTAGGTGATCACCGAAGTCCCTCTCAGGGCTACTGTGATACAATTCCAGACCTGGAAAGGCTCCCACAGAACAACTGGACTTGACAACGAGCTGGGGGAGTTTTAGATAACCATAAGAGAAGTGGGAAGTATATTTTAGATGAGGTGAGTAGTGTAATAACAGACGTAGAAATGAGCACGGTGCCTACGGGGCACAATGAGGGAAGCTGAAAGTATGAGGAAACACATTAGGGAGAGATGACAAGATTAGAGAGGACTTGGAGAGCCAGGCATAGGAGTGTGGACTCAATGCAACAGGCAAAAGGAAGGAAGCCACTAAGATAGCATTATTTTAGAAACGATGATGAAAGTATTATTTTAGAAACCTGTTACATTGGGACTTCCCTGGTGGTGCAGTGGTTAAGAATCTGTCAATGCAGGGGGCACAGGTTCGAGCCCTGGTCTGGGAAGATCCCACATACCGCAGAGCAACTAAGCCCACGCGCCACAACTACTGAGCCTGCGAGCCACAACTACTGAAGCCCGTGCACCTAGAGCCCGTGTTCCACAACAAAGAGAAGCCACCGCGATGAGAAGCCCGCGCACTGCAACGAAGAGTAGCCTCAGCTACTACTGCCTCTAGCCACAACTAGAGAAAGCCCGCGCACAGCAACAAAGACCCGATGCAGCCAAAAATAAATAAATAAATTTTAAAAAAGAAAAATGTTATATAAAAGAAGATGGAGAAAAGCAAAAGAATAAAAAAAAGAATTAAAAAAAAAACCCATAAAAGATGACTGACGGGCAGGAGCGGGCACTGAGGGCTCTGGGTTTTGGTATATTTGTTTAAGTTACTGTTATTCGAGAGCAGCAAGTGAGCACCAGCACAGGGATGGCCAATATGGAGACAGAACAGGCGGCACATACAGAGGCAGCTCAGATTCAAGGACTACGGGACTTAGTGTTGACTAGATCTGCGAAATACAGGAATAGAAACAGACATAGTGCTCCAAGGTGTCTAGCCTACAACAATGGGAAGAAGGGGACAGAAAAGAAGAGACTGGAACTGAAGACCTCTTTCGGAAAGCAGATCAGAGGGGCACCCTGAATGGGACAAGGACTCCAAACAGATGCCTTTTGTGAAGACAATTTAGGGATGCAGCATGGGTGAGAAAAATCTGGAGATGTGGCTTTGGGGGTAAGAGCAGAAACCACATCCAGGAAAATGGATAAGGTGCAAGGAGGTTAGAAACTTGTAACACGGAGTTTTTATTTTTGATGATACAGCATTTAAATCTTAAAAGAAAAAAGATATTGTTTACTTGATAACATACCTTATTTATTTCTTTTGTTAAAGTCTGAACTGAATATATGTTCAGACTTCCATTTTCCATAATAGATGCAATGTACCGTCCATGGGGGCTAATTGCTGATGAACTAATTCCTTCGTCAAGGCTCCCAATTTCAAAGAGAAGTTTACAAGTCTGTATATTAACAAATCTCATAATGCCATCCTGACAGAGCACTCCAAGAACCTAAGAGTAGAGGGAAACAACATATAAGTTCTTAAAACACATTTAAGAGTCAAGTCTCAGATGTTAACTGGACTTATTATGTTGATCATTTTGCAATGTATACAAATACTGAATCATCATGTTGTACACCTGAAACTAACATAATGTTCTACGTCAATTATACCTCAATTAAAAAAAGTCAAATGTCTGCAAGTCAAACTACACACATACACACGTGTGTATTTACATGTTTTCTTTTCTTTGGTGGGGGAGGGAGGACAGTCAGAGGAGATTATACTTGCAGAGAGCCGTCATGTATTTTAAAATCCCTAATTACGGCTCATGTAGATTCGCCCCGTTCAGGTCCAGATAAGCCTGGCTCTACCCAGAACCAGTAAGGAGCCCATCCTGGCACACTACAGAAAGGTCACCTAAGAATCAGCCCTCCCCACAGGCAGGCGCAACTCCACCAATCCCTCCAGAGGGAGTATAGACGATGGCAGTCCTTCACCTTAACTGCACACTGGCCGCCAGATGCAAGGAAGGTGGAGGGCTTGTTTCTCTTCCCCATCCCCAGCCTGACCAGAGCTAACACCTGTCCTGCTGCCCCACACAAACCTGTGACTCCCGCAGTTGTACTAGCATTTGGGCTGTGGAGAGGGAAGGTCTGTGAGCTGCAAGGGCAGTCAGGCTGCGGGTCGGAGGGAAGCTAGTCTTTCAAGGGGAAAAAAAAATTAGCTGTAACTCATACAACTTAGAACTTAAAAACACTTACTAAAAAAGCTTCAACACATGAAACATTAACCCCTCTGCTGCCTTGTCCACATACAGGTTCTTTTCCCCAGGGCCACCATGTGATCTCGTGAAACACTGATGCCCCCTGTTACATGAAAGACATAGTCTAGAGGTGGTTGGAGGCAGTATGAATGTGACAACCTAGAAAGCACGTTCTGGGGCTTCCCTGGTGGCGCAGTGGTTAAGAATCCGCCTGCCAATGCAGGGGACACAGGTTCAAGCCCCGGTCCGGGATCCCACATGCTGCGGAGCAACTAGGCCTGTGAGCCACAACTACTGAGCCCATGTGCCACAACTACTGAAGCCCGCGTACCTACAGCCTGTGGTCCACAACAAGAGAAGCCACTGCAATGAGAAGCCCGTGCACCACAACAAAGAGTAGCCCCTGTTCACTACAATTAGAGAAAGCCCACACACAGCAATGAAGACCCAATGCAGCCATAAATAAACAAATTTATTAAGAAAAATAAAAAATAAATAAATAAACAGCATGTTCTTCTCTGGGTCAGATGGTAGGAAACCCTCTTATTCACAGTTGACGCAACCTCTCTGGAAGGCAATTTGGCAAGATCTATCAAAATTACAGATGCACCTAACCCTGGTACCACTATTTTAACTCTGGGATTTTATCCTACAGACAGGATGTATAAAATGACATGTGCAAAAGTTATGTGTATTAAAAAAAAGGGACATCCCTGGCGGTCTAGTGGTTAAGACTCCGTGCTTCCAGTGCTTCCACTGCAGGGGGCACGGGTTCGATCCCTGGTTGGGGAACTAAGAACCTACACGCTGTGTGGCTCGGCCAAAAAATAAATTACAAAAACAAAAAACAAACAAGCAAACAAAAATGTTATTCAGTGCAGCATCATTTGTAACAGAAGAGGACTGAAAACAGGTTAAGTGCCCAATAATAAAGGACTGGTTATAAAAACCTATACACCTGTAAAAAAAGAACGAAGTTCTGTACTGATATAGGAAAATCGTCAAGGTAAACTAAGTTAGGAAAAAACAAGGTAAAAAAAATGGGAAAAACATAAGATTATACAACAGCAGTGGGTTAAGGAGAGTGAATAACTGGGCAAATGGGAGAAAAGAGTAAGACTTCACTTTATGCCTTTTTATATTTTTTTATGTTTTCAACCATGTGAAAGCATTATCTACTCAAAAAGCTTAAAATAGATATGATACACACATATATTATACATAAATACATAAAACACACACATACACACACACACAATTTGTTAATGTGCAAGACCCAAGATAATTTAAAATAAGAAAGTTAAGGTTCAACTATTCGACTATTAAAGAGGAAAAAGGCGTGTGGCGGGGGAGCGCACTGTAGACAAAGGGAAGATAGAAAGAGCAGACGTCTCATAGGATTGAGGCAGCCAGCTATGGTAGACAGAACACAATGTAACAAAGTGAGAACATTTCAGTTCTAGTCCTACCTTTAATCCTTATAATTAAAGGAGTGTTGAAAAGTCACTTTGTGTTTCTAAGCTTCAGCGTCACAATCTGTATAATGGTGAGAATACCTTCCCTGACTACACTCAATGAATTCTTTAAGGATCAAATAAAAAACAGCATGCTTAATCACCCTGTAAACCATAAAGTATGACATAAAGTATATTGATTTTAGAAAAAGGGCAAGTTATCAGTAATATACAGAACCTAAGATTTTTCCATTTTTTTCAGTTTTAGACTCTTTACAAGTTTTCAGCAGTTTCAAAACCTTGTAACAATCAGGCTACAAGTTAAATAAGAGAACCAACATAGTGAGGAAATTGATAACGATCTTTCCAAAAAAGTACAACTTTACTAACATTTATGTTACTAACCTGATTAGAACCAGCATCAAAACTATCAGGAAGAAATTCTAGGTGGCGAATGGCTCGAACTTTGGTGGGCATCTGGATAATTCTAAATAGTTGTTTGGCTTCCAAGCACCACAAATGAAGATGATTCGATTTGCCCCCAGCAGCCAGGATTTGGCCATCTCTATATTTTAAAAAGGTGAGAAAGTAAGACTAGATGAATTATTTATAGCAGCACTGTCCAATCTGATCCAATATGATGATAGAAATGTTCTGTATCTATGCTGTCCAATGTAGTCACTACTAGCCACATGTGATTATTGAGAACTAAAATGTGGCTAGCGTTTCTGAGGAAATTAATTCTTGATTTTATTTAATTTTTATTAATTTAAATAGTCCCAGGTATCCAGTGGCTACCATATAGGAAAACTCAGGTTTACAGTAGATTTTTTCTTTTGCTTTTTTTTTTTACCTATTGTGCTAAGATACCAGCTTAACAAATATCTGTTTGATGACTTGACTGGGAGTTTCTGAGTAACATTTATATTTTATAGCATAATCTCAGTCACTTACTACTAACCAACTTTCTGTATTTCACATACGACTGTACTGAATTGATAACAGCATTGCTATATGAAAAACCAAAAACCCCAAACTTTTTTCCTGCCAAAGAAAGCTACTTTATGATTAAAAGGTACAGAAAGAATAAGCTGTATTGATTTGCAAGGCTGTTGCTCATTCATTCACAAAGGATTAGTCTACTATAAGCTAGGTTTCACTCCAGGTGCCAGGGACACAGTGGTAAACAAGAAGACAGGTAAGATCCCTGCTCTCAGGGGATTTTCAGTCTAGAGGAAGGTAAAGAAACAAATAAATGAACTTGATATCAGCTGTTAAGTTCTTTAAAGAACTCTAAAACGAGGTAATGTTACAGAGCTGGGAAAGGAGGAAGATCTACTACATAAATGATGTGAATGGGCCAGTCACAGGGTAACTTGGAGAAAGAATTCCATGCTGGTCAGTATTCCTGACTGGCCAGAACAAAAATGTTGAGATAGGTGTAAATAACAAAGAGAAGCCACACTCAAGTGTGGCTGGAACACAGTAAGGGGAAATAAGATGAGAAAAGAGAGGGAGGCCTAGACCAGAGGACAAAAGATCTCAGGGACATGGCAGGGAGTTGGATTTTCTAAGAGCAGTGGAAAGCCTTTTACGGGAGTTCAATAGGGAAATGACATGATCTGACTTAATGATTTGAGAAGACCACTCTATCTGCTTTGTAGACACTGACTTTAGGAAATGAGACTGAAAACAGGGAGACCAAATAAGGGAGCTATTACAGTAGCCTGAAAAAGACTACGACAGTTTGGACTGGGGTAACAGCTGTAGCAATGGACAAAGGAAAGTAGACCAATTCAAGATACAGTTTGGTAGAGTTGATGGGATTTACTGATAATTCAGAAGAAGAGGGTGAGAGAAAGAGAGGAAATAACATCCATTAATATCTGGAAACAATGACCAACCCACCCACAGTGAGAACCTAGCATCCAGATTAAGTGTCAATATATCATTTCCCACAAAAATAAACCCACACCCTTTAGAGAAATGGCTGATTCCAGGTTTGGGACAGGAAATATACAAGACAAGACTGGAACATCTTGCTGGACCAGAGAGAATGAGAACTATCACAGACAACCGGGGTTGTATCAAAAGGGTTCGTTCAAAGCCGACCAGGAGAGGATCCCACTGGTCAAAGATGAGAGAACTGGAGCATCACTAAGAATAATAACTTCAATGGGTCAAATCAGGTCAACTGTGTTTAAGTCCATGAGCTTACAAAGATTAAAGACAAAAAACTTCATTGGCCACCTTTGAAGATGCCAAAAAATCAATCCATTATTTTGGTGAAAAAAAATTTTTTTTTAAAATAGGAAGAAATCCAGCATTTATCCTGCCTTTCCTTTACAAACTGTACAGTAAAGTAACCAAAGAGTTGAGAGGCAGTTTCTTCCTTTTTTTTTTTTTTTTTTTTAATTTTTACTGGAGTAGAGTTGATGAGAGGAAGTTTCTTTCTATAGAAGGTTTTGGTTAATAAGGGAGAAGGAAAGACAGAATTAGAATAGCACCATTTGCTAACCTCCAATGCAACACACGATATCTAGGTAATGACCATCAATGGCCACTAATATCATAAGAGAATGAGCTCTGTGTTTCTCTTGATGAAGGTACACAAACCGCCTACAATGTCTTCTTGCCCCCAAATCAAACCAGATCAAGATCAAGCCTCCAATTTATAGGAAATATAGGTGTAACCAGTTTATAGTAAATATAGATGACAGAAGATCATATTAAACAGCATCACAGGGATGCAAAGAGCAAAATCCAGAACGCAGAAAACTACAGGACAAATGACCAGTTATTTAACAAATAAACTGCAAGGAAAATATAGAAAGAGAGATATACCAACCGAGGCAATGTGTGAACCTTATTTTGCTCCTGACGTGAACCAACCAACCATAAAAAATAATTATTAGACAAATCAGGGAAATATGAATAACCAGATATATGATAATATTATATTATGAATTTTTAAGTCTGATGATAGTACCATGGTTATGTTTCAAAAAGGGTCCTATCCTTTAGAGATACACGCTGAAACACTTATGCATGAAACGATACACTTGGGCTTTGCTTTATGACAGTGCAATAGAGAAATGGTAGGTAGAGTAATAGACAAAATAGGAGTGGCTATTAGTTAATGCTTATTATAGCTAATGAGAGTACTAGCCTTGAGATTTCATGTATTTTTATATTTTTGTGTACATTTTCCACAATAAGTAAAAAACTTATTACCATACCTTAGATCATATCTAAGTTTGAAGGAAACTTTTGCTTATAGGACAATAAAATACTGAATGAAAATTTATAAAATTTCCCTGGAAGTTAAATTTCATAAAAATCCTTAGTGTCTTAAAGAGGACATTACCCGGTCACAGCAAACACTTTGTATAATATACTAGAGCTTTCAGGTGGAGCTGGCAATTGATATTTGCAAACAAGAGTATCACATTCCCAGGCGAAGATGGAATTATCTTTAAAACAGCTGAGGATGGTATTACTTAACGGTAGAAAGAAAACCTAAAGAGGAAGGAAAAAAGTTACTGTTCATTAAGGATCATAGAGTCCTCTTGAAATTCAAAATGTACAAGTAGTTAATTTTTCTGTCTTAAAATCATTTTTTCTTAAACTGGAGAAAAATACATTTACAATATATGGCAGGGGAGAAAACTGATATTTTTACATACTATTATAAACTAAAAAGAAAAGGTAAACTCCTTTAAACAAAAAACAGGTGACTATAATGACGGCTATTCATAAAATACTAGGTAACAAGTTAAAATATTTAACCTTATAAAAGATTCAAATGAAAATAAGATACCATTTTATGTGTATCAGATTTATTTTAAAATAATGCACACATATACATATACACAAACTATACATATACTAACATACGTATTATAAGCTATATACTAATATAAATACTATATTGAGTACTAACTACAGATAAGTGTTAAAAAATATTAAATGTTGGTGAAAGTATAGAATAAAGGCACTGTCATACACTGCTGCTGATAGTAAAAACTGGTTAAAGATACTGTCTAGGGGCTTCCCTGGTGGAGCAGTGGTTGAAAGTCCGCCGGCTAATGCAGGGGACACCGGTCCGGAAAGATCCCACATGCCGCGGAGCGGCTGGGCCCATGAGCCATGGCCGCTGAGCCTGAGCGTCCGGAGCCTGTGCTCCGCAACGGGAGAGGCCACAAGAGTGAGAGGCCCGCGTACCGCAAAAAAAAAAAATTAATAAAGATACTGTCTAACAGCTCAACAACCTTAAAAATCTCTCTCTTCTAAACTAGTCAATCTGCTTCTAAGAGTTAATCCTTTGGGGAAAAAAACAGCAAAATGCTTTAAGATAAATGTGTATAAATGTTTGCTAAGCATTATTTGTAAAAGTAAAAAGTTGAAAATACATGATATTTTATTAGATTCAATTTATTTAATGGACAGATGAGACTGAAATTGGTAGTGAAGTTGAAAATACCATTTTATTCTCCTAATTTCTATTTTTCTATTGCATAAGCAGTAAGCAATGCTTACTTTTGATAATATAAAATTTTTATTAAAGTTGACCAATATTTTCTCATAAGAGTTTCAATGGCCTCAAATATAATTTTGTGTGTCATTTGTGTAAAACACACAAAGTGAGGTAGGAAAGGAAGCAAAGAAGGAAAGAAAATGAAAAAAATTCAATGTCCTAAGGACAAATATTCCTACCTATCCTCTCAAAATACTGGGTTGGCCAAAAAGTTCTTTCGATTTTAAGTAAAAATAAAAGACACATTTTTCATTTTCACCAAGAACTTTATTGAACAACATATTCATTAACCAAACGAACTTTCTGGCCAACCCAATCACACCCCAGAAAGAGCTTGAGACATTTCACACAGTTTGATCATTAGTTACAGCTCTAGCTATTTATTCTTTTTTTCCCTTACCTTTTCCTCAATATAGCTTTGGTCTCATATTTCACTCCTTTTTAAAAAAAATATATTTATTTATTTATGGCTGTGTTGGGTCTTTGTTTCTGTGTGAGGGCTTTCTCCAGTTGTGGCAAGCGGGGGGCCACTCTTCATCGCGGTGCGCGGGCCTCTCACTATCGCGGCCTCTCTTGTTGCTGAGCACAGGCTCCAGACGCACAGGCTCAGTAGTTGTGGCTCACGGGCCTAGTTGCTCCGCGGCATGTGGGATCTTCCGACCAGGGCTCTAACCTGTGTCCCCTGCATTGGCAGGCAGATTCTCAACCACTGTGCCACCAGAGAAGCCCATCACTCCTCTTTTGAATTACAGAATTATAATTTCTTTATACATATGTCTGCCCACAGGAAATCGACCCAGGGACTCTATGCATGGGACCCCAAACACTGTGGACAAAATTGAGTGAGAGGTGTCACCCTTCACAGCTGCCTTGGGATGAAGACCCTTGATTGGTTTCTGAGAGGGCAGACGTCTTGTCTATCTTGTTTATTTTTGTGTAGTCAGTGCTGAGCACAATGACAGGAATGTAGTAAAGGTGCTCAACAGTATTTGTTGAATAAATGAATGAATGAACCCTTTTCTGAGTTGTACAGTATATGTATGTCCATCTTTAACAGTTAGTGCTGAGTTCCAGGTATTTATTCTTTCCCATCCAGACCAGCCTTCTTAACTGCATTATAGCTTATTGTAACACTTTACATTTGAACGTATCTTGTTGCTTCTACTGGTGTGTCTTTACAAGCTTTATTATTATTATTATTATTATTTTTGCGGTACACGGGCCTCTCACTGTTGTGGCCTCTCCCGTTGCGGAGCAAAGGCTCCGGACGTGCAGGCTCAGTGGCCACGGCTCACGGGCCCAGCCGCTCCGCGGCATGTGGGATCCTCCCGGACCGGAGCACGAACCCGCGTCTCCTGCATCGGCAGGCAGACTCTCAACAACTGCACCACCAGGGAAGCCCCAGCTTTATTATTTTTAAAATATGTGACCTTCTGTGTTGGCAAGAGAGAGGGGCAGGGACTCACAGAGGAGGCAGGGCACCTTTAAGGATTTGTTACCTCTTATTCCGACCCCTGATCTATCACACACCTTCACAATTTTACTGGTGTCAGAGGGAGTGCTACATTCCTTGGGGATGAAGTATTCAGTGTCTACAGCACTGGATTGGAGCGTCTCTGAGTATTCAGAATCTGGATATAACCGTCATCACAGTAATGAGAGAGAGCTGTCCTGGGGAAAAGCAGCATGAACACTGCATCTACCATGGCTTTCCCCAGTGTTACAAAAATAACGGGTCAATAAGGCATCTACGTGAAATACCGTAGCCTTGCAACGAATTTGTGTTATTGTCACCCAGCCTATTTCATACATATAATTAGGAAATGATTCTAATAGTTAACGACATTACTATAAGAATTTTAGGGAATTGTAAATATATATATATTTGTATATATATATTACACATATATACTAGTATCTGTTTTTTGATAATAGTGCTAAAAATACATACATACACACATATAAAATATACTATGGAACATACTGGTTAATTAGAACACTCTACTAAGGACTAAAGCTAATAAGACAATAAAAAATGGTAACTCAGCTACATCAGGTGCTAATGCCCTTGCCTGACCCAACTCCTCCTCACTTCTGTCCTGAGCTCACTCTGTCAAAGACAATCTGGTAGGTCTTTTGCCAGTTTCATTATGTTAAGAAGATTTGTAATATGAAGGTCTTACAGAAAGAATTTGCAGTGAATACATTATAATCTATAATGAATGCCCTAAAACAGTTTCAAATCTGATGTCAAAAAAAAAGTGACTTGAGTGGGCTTCCCTGGTGGCGCAGTGGTTGAGAGTCCGCCTGCCGATGCAGGGGACACGGGTTCGTGTCCCGGTCCGGGAGGATCCCATGTGCCGTGGAGTGGCTGGGCCCGTGAGCCATGGCCGCTGAGCCTGCGCATCCGGAGCCTGTGCTCC